CGTACAAGTCTTTCCAGGTCTTTCTGAAATCATCCTGCTCAGGTGTATCCCTTCACATTCATATACCACAGCTTGTTCGGCCATTCCCCAATTGATGGGTATGCCTTCAACTTCCAATATTTTGCCACCACAAAAAGGGCTGCTCTAATATTTTTGCACATGTAGGCAGTCCATTCTAATTTTCAAGGAGTCTGTTGCTTGAGTAAGGTCTTGTATCTCTTGTGCCAACCTATTAATTACCTTTCCAATTCTTTCTTCCATAGCTCTCATTTTTCCCATTCTTCCCTAGCACTCTCACTTCAATTGTTTCCTCTAGTTCTCTCATTTCATTTATAAAATAATTTTTAGCTCTTTAATAAAAGAAAAGCTCTTGCTTCTCCTCTTCTAGGAATTCTACTTGAGTTTATACCCAAGCTATATTTTTCTTTTAGGCTTTGCTTGTAGATGTTTTGGAGTCTTTTTCTCCTGACTTTGTGTGTTGAGCATCCCTGTTACCAGAACTCTTTATGGTAGGATTCTTTTTTGTTTGCTCATTCTTCTGTCCTTACTTCTTGACTTTGAACATTGCATTAGGGCTAGGTTTTATGTAATTCTAGAGGGGATGTCTAGGCCATGCTCGATCATGTTTTATGTCCTTAGGGGTCCTGCTGCTGCTTTCTTGGAGAATTGAATGTTGTGCTATTCTAGAATCTAAGTGACAGCTTAGTCTGGGGACCTATAAGCTTTCAGTGCACCTAAAGTGTTTTGATCAGGGGAAAACCCAAGAATTGCCTTTGTATTCTGAGCTCTGCAAGTTTCTGACCTGAGTTTTGAATCCAAACAATATAATGGTGGACTTGCCTTTGGTTGGAGCTCCAGTCTGCTGGACTGGGTACTTCTGGACGCAGCCATTATTAGCCAGCTGAAAAGCTCTGCAGATTGAGAGTGGCAGAACTTCAGGCTCTCTTTGACTGAGCTTTCTGCCCAGGTTATTCTACTGTGGGCTTTGACTATGTATACAGCTGGATCTGAGACCATGCCCTGCTCCTGGGGTTAGTCACATAGCTTTTGCTTGCTTCTGCACTTGCCTCTTGCTCAGTACATACCTAGGGTCCACAACTACTCTTTTCCCTGGTCCTTGATATTGAGGAAAGAGAACAGGAAAGGGAAGAGAATAAGTATTTATATAGAGCCTACTATGTGGCGGGTATTATGCTAATCATTTTCCAAATATTATCTTATTTGATCCTCAAAATGATTCTATGAGGTAGGTGCTATTCTTAGCACCATTTTGTAGTTGAAGAAACCGAGGCAAACAGAGGTTAAGTGTTAAACAGAGGTTAAGCCCAGGATCACACAGCTAGTAAATATCTGAGGTTGGATTTGAACTCAAATCTTCCTGACTTCAGGCCCAGCGCCCTAACCACTGTGCTACCGAGCTGCCCTATACTCCCAGGTGCAGTCTGCACTAGGTTTGTGACCCAGCAGTGGGAAGTAAGTGACAAGGCTGTGTCTGTTTCTGCTTCCTGAACACGATCAGGGGTTTCTGGTTTTCTCTGATGGATCTAGGATTTCTTACACTGGTGCGCAGCAGCTGGCAGGCCTTCATTCAGTACCCTTGATGGAAAGCTCAACCCATTCCCTAGTGTCTGAAGACCTCCCTGTGTGTCTCCCTATGAGGACCTGGGCATGATGAAATAATTCACTATGCTTTCAACAAATTCCTGATCCAGACTTGCTCTGGTGAGTTTTCTCGATCTTTGTGGAATGGTTGTAGGCAAAAGCTTGGTTGCACTTCTTCCTTCCACACTGCCATCTTGGCTAAGCTCCAACAATTGGGGAAATATGGCAGTTGGCCTGGGTGAGGGCGGGGGGCAGAAAGACATCTGTTGTTGCCAGTCATCCTAAGGATGCTTCCATTCACCACCCCCCACGTCGGTGTCCCTGTCTGTCTTTCCATACCTCTCTTTCTCTCTGGGGGTATAGGCATCTTGTAAAAGTTGAGGGCAGCTCTGAAGAGTTGCCTTTATTTGAGCGTTGTTTCCTGTATATCTGTGTTCTCCTGTGTTGTGGCTGTCCCTGGAGAAAGTCTTGGGTATTGAGCTCTGAGCCCTTTCCTAATTTCTTGGGCATGTCTGGATTTGAGGCGATGGGACCCCCTCAAACTAGTAGTTGTAGGACCCTGATAATGCTAACACACAGCATGACATCTGGAGACCTGGAGGGTCCCTGGGCTACCCTCTTAGGAAATGGCTGCCGTTGGCTTCTATTTCTTCTTCAGACAGGGAGAGGTAGCCTTTGACCTCTTTGCAAGTTTCTTCGAGGGGCTTTTCCTATGCAAATGCTCCAGAGTCCGTTCTGAGTCTGAAATGCATGTCCATTCAATGGGACATCCCACCAGATCCAACTGCCATCTCCACTGTATTGGCAGGTCAGAACAATTCAGCACCAACAAACTGTGTGACCTTTGGCAAGTCAGTACCCCCCTGAGTGTTCGTTTCCCCATCTGGAAAATGCACAGGCCTGATTGTCTCAAGGCTCTTAAGCTGGGCTCTAGAAACTTTTCTTTTTAATACATTGTTAATGGTATCGCAACAGAATTGGCTTCCTCTGCATTCCTACGAATGCATTTTAAACCATCCTGAGAAAGGATCCAGAATTTTCTTCATCTGACTGCCAAAGGCCACCCCTATCTAGAACTAAAATGCAAATGGATTTTCTCCACAGAAACCAAAAAGGTGACAAGCCCCAGCAATCTCTGAGCTCCAAAGCCCCTTCCAGCTTCCAGCCCATAAACCAAGCCGACATTTTCAGGCATCAAAGACAATCACTGAATTCCCCTAATGGCTGGAGAGAGTGAGAAGGGACATTCCCAGGTCATTTCCACTTCAATTGGAACTATAGGGGGACTCAATTTTCTTACTTGTAACAGGGGGATAATCAAATAAAGCCTGTATATTGTAATCTGGGGGCAGCTTTGAAGGGACGGGAGGATTACAGAATTTAAGAGCTGTGAGGGACCTTTATGATCATCTAGTCTAAGGTCTCGAGGCCACGTGTGGCCCTCTGGGTCCTCAAGTGCACCCCTTTGACTGAATCCAAACTTCACAGGACAAATCCCCTTCATAAAAGGATTGTTTCTGTAAAACTTGGAGTCAGTCAAAAAGCTGTGCCCAAGGACCTAGAGGGCCGCATGTGGCTTCGAGGCCCAAGGTTCCCCACCCCATCTAGTCTAAGCCCCACTTATTTACAGATGAGGAAATTGAGGCACAGAGTTGCAGTGACTTGTTCAAAGTCACACAACTTGTAAGTGTGAGAGCCACAACTTGAGCTCAGGGGTTCTCATTTGCAGATGCAGGGGGTTCTTTTTACTGTGCTAAGGTGCCTTTTCACTCCAACCCTATGACCCTTTCATTCACTGATTGAGCTGCCTCTTCCACTCCTGGTCCGTTAGTCCGCTCTGTGATTCTCCCTTTGGATCTGGCCTTCCCACCGGCCCTCTTGCCTTCTTGTGTTTGGTGTAATGTTAAAGATTCTGCCAGCTGTGGATTCTCCAGCTGCACATCTGGAACTCTTGGCTGACTTGTTGCACTCCCTCCCAGGAATTTCTCTAGGGAGTGGGGAGGTGTATTAAGGCTAGAGCAGCTGCCTGCAAATGAAGGCGCCAGAGTCCCCAGGCCGCTCTCCCCTCCCCACCCTCAAGCTCCATCCTGGCCATCACGTTTCAGCATTTGTCCACTGAAGGGACACTTTAGCTCTTTTCAGGAGAAAAGACTCAATTGTCATTGAACTTCAGAGCTCAGCGGGACTTTAGAACATGGAACACAGAATGTAGCTCTGGAAAGACACCAGAACCTAAAATGTCCGAGGTGGAAGGGGGCCTCAGAGACCTTCATTATTCACTTTACAGTGAGGAAATGGGAGGGGCTGTGGTGGGGAGTCACTCGTTCGGGCTTACTTATATAGCTAGCTAGTGCCAGAGATAGAACGAAAACCCAGATTTCCTGGTAGCTCAAGCCAGCATTCTCACATCATATTCAAAGGAACTCTACTGCCCCCCCCCCCTTCAAGAACCTTAGTAAGCGGTTATCGAATGAATGAATGGCTAGCTCAGTCCCCTCGGGCTGGCCCCATGACTGGGTCTCTTGCTTCAACTTCTCTGTCTCTTGCTCTGTCTCTGTCAGACTCTGTTTCCCCCCACCCCTACCCCTAGCCCTTCTCAGTCCCTTCGGGCTGGCCCCAAGACTGGGTCTCTTGTGTTCCCTCCTTCTCTGTCTGTGGCTGTCCCCCCCCCCCGCCCCACTCCCCTTTTGGCTCCCAGGCCGTGGCTGCTCCCGGGATTCCTGTCCAGGCTTCGTCGGTGCGCCAGCTGCCTGAGGCTTGGACCTCGGCCCTGGCTGGCAGGTTTCATTCCAAAGCCATAACTGTTTTAATTACTTGGTCTGTGAAACCCCTGGAAGGGAGAAAGAGACCGAGAAGGGCTGTGCTGGGTTAGGTGGGGACACTGGGAGGTGGCCAGCGCACTTTTCTCCGCCCAGACCTCGTTTTTCACCAGGTTCAGTTCCACAAGCACTTAGTTGGCGCCTGCTGTGCGCAGGGAAGGCACTGAGCGTGGAGTGGAATCGACTTGTGATCCGGCTCCTGTGTTCCCTTCGAGACCGAACCGGGCACGGGACGAGAGCTCGCCTTTCCAGAGTGCCACTCGTACGGTTAGCCTCCCCGTGGCAGGCGCCCAAGGGTTAACTGGAGGCGGAGTCCAGAGCTGAAGGGCAGCCACTCCCGCCAACGGGAACGGGAAAAGCGGGAAGCTGGGGGAGGAGCGAGCGGTCTGGGGCGGGGCCGCACGCGGCCCGGCCCCGCCCCTTGAGCAAGGGGCCGGGGTGGAGTCGTCAGGGGGGCGGGGCGCGGGGCGCCGGGCGCCGCAGGAGGCGCCGATTGGGTGGCGGAGCCGTCCCTCCGCGATCACGGGGCGGGGCCAGACCGCGCCCCCGCCTCCCTCCGCCCGCCCCCCCGCCCGCGGAGTGGGGCCGCACACGCGGCTGCTCCCCACTCCGGCCCGCCCAGCCGCCGCCGCCGCCGCCTCGTCCGTCTGTCCGTCCGGCTGTCCGTCTGTCCGTGTGTGCGTCCGAGGTGCAGCGGCCGCGGGTGCCCCGAGCCCCCGACCCATGGCCGCTCAGTAGACGCTCCTGACAGGGCTCCTTCCGAGAGTGCCGGCCCAAGCAGCAGACGCGGCGGCGGCGGCGGCAGCGGCGCGAGGCCCGCGGGCCTCCCGGGCGGACGGACGGGCGTGCGTGCGTGCCAGAGAGTGCGGGAGGCCCCCCGGAGGCCATGGGCTTTGCCCAAGAGGCGGCAGCGGCGCGCGGGGAACCCGGGCCAATCGCGGGGCCGGTCACCGGACCGGGCCGCCGCCGGGCCAGCCAGCGGGGCTGCGGCTGTCGCGGGGGCCCGGCTTCGGCGGGCGCCGGGAGCAGCTGCCGCCTCTTCCTGGCTTTTTTCGCTCTGTCTCTGGCCCTCCACCTGCTGACGCTCTGCTGCTACCTGGAGCTGCGCTCTGAGCTGCGGCGAGAGCTAGCAGCCGAGGCCCGCCGCGCCCCCGTCCCCGCCGGGCCGCCCGCCGGGCCCCCCGACGCTACCATTGATGCCTCCCGGGACGCCTGGGCAGCCCGTCGCCGCCGCCAACGCGGGCAGCTGCCACCTCAACTCCAACAGCAGCAGCAGCTGCTGCCACCGCCCGAACCCGAGCCCAGGGACACGGCGCTTCTCCCCGGCCCTGGGGACCCGCAGCAGGTGAGTCACTCCTCCTGCGGGGCGGCCCAAGGAGGGAGGGAAGGAGGGTACACCTGCTCCCCTGTGCTAGTGATCGCCTGTCACCCTCTGCCGCAGTAACCGGGAATGTAACTAAGTCACTAAGTAACTAGCAAAACTCATTCAGTTTGAAAGTAACTCACCAAGTCAGTCACAAAGTTACCTACAAAGTTGTTCACAAAGTAACTGGCAAAGTTGCTCACAAAGTAATTGGCAAAGTAAGTTACAAAGTTGGTTGCGAAGTAACTGGCAAAGTAACTTAAGGAAGATGGTCACAAAGTAACCTACAAAGTTGGTCACAGAGTAACTCACAAAGTAATTCACCAAGTAACTGGAAAAGTCAGTCACCAAGTCAGTCTCCAAGTAAGCTAAGTAACTGACAAAGTAACTCACCAAAGTCAGTCACAGAGAACCTGGGAAAGAAATTCGCTAAGTTTTAGTCAAAGAGGACCTGGCAAGGTAACTAAGTCACAAAGTATTAAGCCAGTTGCAAACCAAATGGCAAAGTCATTGCACTAACCAGGGAGTGGAGGCAGGCCCCTTGGAGGGACTGCAGCTTCATGCCTCAGGGTGACTACTATCTCTTAGCAGCTACAAGGCTGCCAGCAGCTCAAGCGAGTGCTGTGTGCCACAGGGAAGTAACTCTTTAACCAACTCCATGTCAGACCAAGTGAGATGATTTGGTTTTTACCTGCAATTTGAGATCCACACCAGCTGGGTCATTCCTTGGGAAGGGCTCACTACCACCAAGCTATTTAAAAAGTCTGGGGAAACACTCCTTTTCCACCTTATTGCATGTTGCCTCTGTCCCTGGGGGCTGAGGATGAGGAGGAGGGAGTGTCCAGTAGCCACATGCTAAAGAAATGAGATCTCCCCAGAGGAGCCAGAGACTGTATTATGTGTATATGAACTTTCCAGTGGTTTGGTTTGTTTGAATCGGTCAGCTTTTACTTTTTTTCTCCTCTCATAGTTAACTCTTTGAGGGTACATTGAGAGCCATTCTATTGAGATTGAATTGTTTGTAAAGTGTAAATTGTTTGTAAAATGCATTGAAATAGCCTTCTGGCTTGATCACAGAACAGTCAGTCGTATGTTTCTATTGCTTGGGAAGCAGAGGGCAACTGGGGTCAATCATGTGCTTGAAGGCCAAGGGTGAGTCTGGCATTCTCTCTGAAATATAAGAACTCAGTAGTTTACTGTGCAGTAAGGGTGCAGGTGGGCATGCATTCACAGGGCTGTAGAATTGGACATTACTATTGAGGATAACTGAATATTGCTGAACTTTCTCTAGTTTAGATTTTGTTATTTCCAGGCTTCTCTTGCTTTGCTAGCAGGCTCTGACTTATAGAAGGGCTGATCAAAGAAGATGCAGGCAAAGCGAGCTTCCTAAGCTTGCAACTTTATATTTTGTAGCAAAATGATAATTAAGTGAGATTTTGGCTCCTTTCAATAACTTTCTCCCCACCCCTTCAACCTTCTTCTCTCCTCCCCCAGTAGATATACTTTGCAATCGAACCCTAATGGAAAAGTAAAGGAATTCAGTATCCTTTTTTGGCATTCAATATATAGATGGTCCTGTGTTTATAGTCTGTTGATTAACAGAACATCTGGACTTCTGAGGCTTCTCTTCTTGGGAGAAAGAGGCTAGGAGTGACCTCTAATGGGGTTTGGGACACCTATTCTCCTAGAACATTTCATACTGTCTTGCCTAAGTTTTAAACCTCTACCTTCCTATTAGGCCTGAAACTATGCTGTCTTTCTTACTCCATTTGGGCTGTAGACACACTAGTACCTTATCTTTCTCCTGCCCCTAGTCAGGGTCAGAGAGAGGCTCTTGTTAGCTGTACTGATTTCAACTACATCTTTCCTATTTTCCTTGCATCTTTGAAGCTTTCAGGAAAAGTCAGGCAGTTTTAAAAGTAGCTTTTGGCTTAGGTGAACTTCTGCATATCTCGAAGGCGATGTTTTGAGTCTTCTTCAGTGAGTGTCCAAATTGAGCCATTTCCAATCAAATGGCTCCTGTGGAGTTCTGGGTCAAGTTTCTGGTGCTCTAGGGCATCCTCTGCTGGCTGGGCTGGGATATATAATTATAGTACATGCTGACAGATGTGGATTCATAAATAGGGAACTGAACAGCTTCTCGGGTTCTGGCCATGTAGGTCAGATTTTTGTATTTTATTTTTCAAAACAAACAGCTGCTGTGGCAGCAGTGGCTCTTGGGTGGAGAGAGATGAGAAATGTGCACACTCCAGTGTGCCATGTGCTCTTCATCAGACCATCTATAAGTAGCAAAGCCAAACAAATGGGAGAGAAACTCCTAGAAAATCTCATGAAGACATGAATGGACTGAATAGGGTCAAACCAGCTACTGGGTATGATAAGATAATATACTTAAGCATCATAGGCTTAGAGCTAGAAGAGCCTCCCCTCTTTTTACAGAGGAAGAAGCTGAAGCTCAGAGAGGGTAATTGACTTGCCTAAAGTCTCACAGGTAATAAGGATAGAGCTGAGATTCAAACTCAGATACTGTGATTTCAAATCCAAAAACTTTCCCCCAACAACATACTTTCAAACTCCACATAAGATGATTGCCTCTGAGTTCTTGGCTGCAACCCAGGCTTTAGGAGCTATTGTAGGCTGTTGTCTGAAGCTCCTGGCCCAGTGTCCTGCTGGGCCCCAAAGACCAAGAATACAGGCAGTGAGGGGAAAGCAGGAAACACGATCTTCCCCTGGTACAAAGCTGGGGGAGGAGGAGGGTACCACAGGTGCTTCTGGTAGTTAATGCCCTCCCAGTAAGACACAAAGCTGGAGATGTTCCCAAAGAACATGACTAAATGGCTGGGGCCTGGGAGGGGTTGGAGAATTTTTAGTATGAGGAGAGACTACAAAGCCCTAAAGCCTCTTGAATTCTGAGTGATATCAGCTCCAAGGACAAGTGAGTGGCTCACTGGGACTCAGGGTAGGAGAGACCTCTTGAAGCTTGCGGGCCAAATGTATTTTACCTTTAACATCTCATTACTCCAAGAAGTGGGACAGATAGAGATGGGACGGATAAGTTTGTAGAAAGATTGGGTGGATGACTTAATGACCTGGCAAAGAATTTCAGAAAGTAGAGGCAGTATGGGGCATGTTCCTTATCTTTGCACATAATAAGTCTCTTCTTACAAAATGCCCCTTGATTGCAACTGCTAGACAAGATTCTGGACTAGGTGGCCCCTTGATCTAACCCAATATGGCAGTCCCTATGTACCTCCCTTAAGTATGGTTGAGGTGGATGAATAAGGTCACTTAGTTAATAAGCATTTGTTAAATACTTACTGTGTGCCAGGCACTGTGTTGTGCTGTGCTAAACACTGGAGGTACAAAGAAAGGCAAAAGATGGCTCCATCCCTAGAGGAGTTCACAGGCAACATGTTAACTGTATACAGACAAGCTATGTGCAAGAGAAATAGGAAATAGTCAACAGAAGGAAGGCATTCGAATTAAAAGAGAGCTTGGGAAAGGCTTCCTGTACAAGGAGGGATTTTAGCTGGGCCTTGAAGGCAGCTGGGAGCCAGGAGGCAGAGATGGGGAGGGCATTCCAGGCATAGGGGATGGTGACAGCTAGTGAAAATGGCCAGAGTCGGGAGATGGAGGGTCTTGTTGGTGGAACAGCCCGGGGGGCAGTATCACTGCATTGAAGAGTATGTGACAGAGAGTAAAGTGTAAGAAAACTGGGAAGGTATGAAGGGCTTTGAATGCCAGACAGAGCATTTTGTATTTGATTCTGGAGGCCATAGGAAACCATCAGAATTTATTGACTAGGGGAGTAATACGGTCAGACCTGAGCTTTGGAAGATAACTTTGGTAGCCAAGTTGAGGGTAGATTGGAGTGGGGACAGCTTGGAGGCAGGCAGCCCCCCACCCCCAGCAGCTATTGCAATAATCTAGGTATGAGAAGATGAGGGCCTGCACCAGGGAGGTGGCAGTGTCAGAGGAGAGAAGGGGATGTATTGGAGAGATGAATCAGCAGGCTTTGGCAACAGTTTGGATGGGGGATGGGGGATAGGGGATGGGGGATGGGGGTGGGAGATAGTAAGGAGTCCAGGATGACTCCTAGGTTGGGAGCTTGAGGCATGGGAGCGTGGTGGTGTTGCCCTCCCTCTACAGTAATACAGAAGGTAGGAGGTGTCAGGGGGAAGTTAGAGGGAAAGTTAATGAGGTCAGTTTTGGCCTTGGTGTGACATTCAAGGCTTCTGACCAATTGGTGCCATCTTGCCCCTTCAGCCTTATAGCTAGGTCATTAGTACCCCTATGACACAAAGCCCACTTAGCTTCCAAGGTGTCCTCCAACTGAGAGGCAGTGTGGTGAACTGGACAAAGAACCATTCTTGAAGCCAGAAGGACCCGGTGTTGAGACCCCCCTGTGACCCTGGGAAGGTCACCCCAAATTCTTAGTGCCCCCAAGCAATTCTCTAAGACTGGGAAGTTGCTAAGAAGGTGCTGCCCTACATTTACAGATGGAGTTTCCTATGCCAATAAATTCATAGGTCCTAGCCAATCTTGTGGCACTAGAAGGTGGCACCACTGTGCAGAGAGCACTGAACCTGAAGGTGAGAAGACCTGAGTTCAAATCCAGCCTCGGACACTTACTAGCTGTGTGATCTTGAGCAAGTCACTTAACCTCTGTCTGTCTCAGTTTCCTACCTGTGAAATGGAGATAATGATATCATCTGCCTCCCAGGGTTGTTGTGAGGATAAAATAAAATGCTTCGACAACTTTAAGGTACCATATGAATGTGTGCTGTTGTCATCATCATCCTCACTGTTAGGTGATGAAGTGGTGGATTGAATGTTGAAATGGGAGTCAGAAAGACCTGTATTCAAATTCTACAAATCACTGAACCTCTTGGGACTTGGGGACTCCCTCTAGATCCAGTTTCCAAAGTTGGCAATGGATTGAGCTTCACGTCGGGGGAGGGAGTTGCTACCAAAGCACTCAC